GGTTCCTGGCCTACATTCATAATTAAAGGAAGTGCCAAATTTTAGTTAGAAGTTAGTAAAAATAAAGATGTAATTTTTTCCCCACCTGTAATTAACAGATACCCTCACAAGAGATGCATGGAGTCCATGTTAAGAATTCTAATTTAAACACTGAGGCTAGAAAAATAAGTTTTCATTCTATGGAATTGAAAGGATCATTAAAATTCACCTGAACCAAAACTTTTATGTTACTGATGAGGAAACCGAAGCCTAGAGAAGTTCAAAACTTTGAGTCTCCTGTGGTGTATTGAATATTCTAAGCCCATAATAGACATACAATAAATTTTCCCTGAATTGAACTGAGCAACTTGCCTAAGTTGCACAGCTAATGATTGACAAAGTTGAGAACTGAACCCATGTGTCATGACTCTTAAATCAATGTTCCTTCAATCAGATTAAGCTAATGCAATATTTGTTTTTCTGTAAATGTCAATGGAGCAATCACTCTCACTGTATGCTCTTCCTCAAAATTTCTAGGAAACCATACTCTGGGTCTCCGTCACTTCCAAGAAAAATTTCTCTCTCCTGTTGCTAACAGAAGTCTCTGATTCCATGTCATATTATCATTTCCTGTTTTTCTCTCATGAGTAAATATATCTTGACAGTCATAATGCATATCTATTCAGAAATTAATTGATGGTCATCTAAAATGTTCTCTGGCTACAATCAGGTGCTTAGCTTACGGCAATCAGCACTCAAATAGCAGGCTCCCAAGAAGTTTTTCCCAGTCTCCTTGCATGATTTCCTTTATTATTGCCAATCTCTATTCATAAATCAGCAAGTCTTTTTCTGTTTAGTTAAAATAATGTTTACTACACTGCCATCTCTCAGGTTTGTCCCCTCATATTCTCTTTTCCATATCACTTAACTACAAATGTTTTTTCTTCGCCATGCTCAATACTGGCATTCTCTTTCACAGCAATCTCTCACTATATTTTTTCATTCATTCAACAATTATATATGGAGTACGTATCATCCCTTACTTCTTAAATATTTGTTTTCAGGTAATCCAAATCTTTTCTCCCTGAATGAATTATTGCTCTAGACATCTCCAGTTTAAAGTTTTCTTCTGCATTTCTCCAAACGGACAGCTCTTTTCATCACTTCCCGCAGCACGCAACGTCCCCTTCACCAGGCATCTCTGTGATGTGTGTTTGCACCACAGCCTCAGGTTAGCTTTGATTACTCTCAGAGCTCACACACACCTTCACACACAACAAGATCACCTCTTCCTATCCCACTCAAGGCAGAATTCTCTTTTTTCCTGTCATTTAGAGCTTACTGCTCTCTTCTCTCCATTATTCCTAATACATCGAGGACTTCACTATCCACCCCAATTCAAAGCTCCTTTCCCCCATCACTTTCATATGACTCTGTTCTTACAAGTCTCTAGATCTGTTATGTTGAATATGGTCACCACTGGCCACATGAGGCTACTGACCACCTGAAACGTGGCTAGTCTGAATTGAGATGTGCTGGAAGTATAAAAAAACACACTGGATTTCAAAGACTTATTATGAAAAGAGGATATAAAACATCTCATTAAATTTTTTATATTGATTAATGCTGAAATAATGTTTTGGACATATTAGGTTAAATAAAATATATTAAAATTAATTTCACTTGTTTCTTTTTAATTTTTAATGTGACTAATAAAAATTTCTAAGTTACACAAATGGTTTGCTAGACAGCACTATTCTGGGCTCTTCTGTAGATTCATACTTTTAAATCTTCCCTATTAATTCAAAATTCTCTCCTTTTATCACTCTTAATAAGACAGCTTCCCCAACTATCCCCCTGCTCCCCTCATTCCAAACCTAGAACTATTTTCAATCTACCATTCTCAATACGTCTTTTACTCCATTATTTCTGTACATAGTATTTGTTTTTGCCTGCTAATACAGCCTCTACCCCTGCAATCAAATCATAACAAAGTTCTGTTTTCTTCTTCATCAATTCTAATAGGATGGGACCTGTCTTAACTCTCAGCAAAATTTTAAAAAATAGTCCTTGTAATTCCCAAGAAAAAGAACTTCACTTATTATTTTTCAAATTGGCCTATCTTCACTATAATTTCATTTAAAAGGGCTAGTAATTGTAAAACAGTAAACAAGTGTAAATTAATAATTTCAGAGCAATGTTACCCATTCACACTAGGACAGCAATTCCTCCTGTCATTTTAAAGACAGGATTCGTTCTCTAAACTCGACATTGAGGTTTCAATCCCATTGTTTAAGCATAGAATTCTCTTATTTCACGCTAAATACTCTCATACTTAATTTCCCAAAATGGAGTATTTGTTTTCCCACCATTTTCAGCATGGGCCAATGTGTCATCGCCCCCCAAATTGATTTTAACAAATTAACATCTCTAGAATTGCCTTTTATCAACTATTTTAGGGGAAAAAAAATCAAGACTGGGAGGGTAGACGTGAGTGAGTGGCGTGTGGAGGAAGAGTTGGGAGAGTGTGTACGAAGAGTGATAAGAAGTGGCAATCACAGACAAGCTGTCCCATGCATTATCCTCTTGGAATGTTTCTTCTGAAATCTCTCCTAACTGTTCTGCCCCAGAAACCCCGCTATAAACCCTTTACGTATGCCTCTTCGAAATTTGAGTGATTACCTTCACTCAAGCACCTCTGAAAATTCTTCCTCTGTAAGGTCTCCTTCCCATCATTCTTAGGAAAGAAATTCCTCGTTTTTACTCCAAGAGCAACACAAGTCTCTCTTCTTTTTTTACTTCCAATATTTTCCTCTGATGATGAAGATCTTTCCTTCATCATTATATATATATAAATTCCAGTTTCCCATCACTCCCAGTATTGAAAAATCTTTTTAAAAAATTATTCCTAGCATTAAAACTTTTCCCTGTTTCCTACTAGTATATTTATTTAGCTCCCTCCCAATCCTCTCTCCAGACAGAACTCCTTCACATACACACACACTTCTGGTTGAGAGATATTGCTCCCTTTCATTTAGCCCAGGCTAGAAATCCCTTGCACACATCTCTTCCAACAGACAGCCTTCTCCTGCCTCAAACTCTGTCTTTGGATAATCTGAGTATACATACAGCTCATTTGTTGGTCCTTTCCTCTATTCTTCTTTCCTCAATATTTCTTTTCTGTTCTTTTCTCTGCTTATTCCTTTCTCTTTTTCAGTGTCTGGTTTTACAGCCAATATTCTATCTGCTTCATAAAAGAGCCCCCATTATACATATAGGTCAAAATATGAACTAAGGGGAACCTGTAAGAGTAGGAGAAGTTGCTTGTTCTCGCGTGGTTTGGGCGTATTGCCCCCTCAGATCCCCTGCTCTGGCGGTGTCTCCTCTCCCCCACCTCAGCTCATCTCTTCCCCAGATGTGTCTAGTTCTTCCTCCCGCTCCTACTGCCTCCAAAGCCATCCATCCCTCTGATGGCCTCCCTTGCTCTCTTTTCTGCCTCAGGACTATCCTATTCCGAAAATCCTACTGATCCTTTCTTCTTCCAATCCTCCTGCTGGCTCATCCCTGTTTGCCCTACTCTGGGCCCTTTTATCTTGTGGACATTTCCTCCCACCTTCCAGTTCCTGCTCTATCATTTCCTTTTGATCCTCCTTAGGAGGTGCTGCTCAGACTTCAGCCACTGGATCCTCCTGGTCCAACCAGGTACAACAAAACAACAGCTGGATGCCCAAAGCCAAAATACCTGGGGCTAAAGAGGAAAAGAGGAAGACAGGCCCTATAACAGCCCTTGGGGTCTGGAGGAGTGATTAGCCCTTTGGACAATTCCAAGGAAGGGCCCAGAAACCTATCATCAGGAATTACCCTTGCCTGGCAAAGGACAAAAGGACTCTTGGATCTCCTCCTTGACTCTGACAGAGTCAGCCCTGAGGCCTCCTGGGGTCACCTCCACCTGCTAAGCTGGATGCGATGAATGGATAAGCAGAGGCAGATTCCTCCTGATGCTAAGGAACTGTAAGATTTCGGAACCCCACACTTGCATGCAACCCCTGTTTTTCTTAAATAAGGCCCACCAAATTGTATAAGCTTTGGACCTCAGCCCCTGGATCTGCCCCTGGACAAGGGAAAGCTTTTCTGGCTTCTAGGGATTAAGGATCAATAGGGAGGCTAGGAGGACTCTAATTAGAGTGAATCTAAACAGGGTTCAGTGTAACAACTCTGCTTCTACAGAGAGGGCACCGTCCCACAGAGGATCCAGGGTTCCTGAATTCTCTCTTAATTGAATCTCACTGGTTCCAGAATCTTAGCTGGGTTCTTGACTCCAGGCCTTTGGGCCACACCCAACCCAGCCCAGCCTTTAGCCTCTCTCTTGGCCTCCCAGTCAGCCCTGGTCCAGCGGGTGCTAGGGCCCCTGCTAGCTAATGTTCCTTTATGCCCCCTACCCAGTTCTTCAAGACTTGGCTCTAAATCTGCCAATTCAGAAGTGACCTCTACTACTAAGGTGAAGACAGGTCACCAACAGGGTCACTACTGCTTTAAGACCCTCCCTTTGCCCCTGCATTCAGAGACCACTCCGGGTCAATACAATCTTCTCTTCAGAAGCCAGAGTGTCCTCTCCTCACTGAACTGACAGCTGCCCCAATGTACCCTCACGCTGGGGTCTTGCTGGTGTCCCCAGGAGTCCCACAGTTGCAGTTTCTCTATTCCTGGCAAAGGAGAAAAATGAAGGGATTCTGAAAAGGAGAGGCGGGAGTGGAGGCTTGAGGACTAGAACGCCACTGATTTGGAAGGGAGTAGCGGGACGTCTTCCGGGAGGCTTCAGGCACTCTGGAGACAGAGCAGGTTCTGGGATCTAGAGGTGCCGTGTTTGGAACGGAATTGGAAGTGGTTCCGCAGAACCCGCCATCTCGGGGTCTGGGATTCCAGGGCTCCAGGCAGGTGCCGAGCTTCTGAGCAGGCTGCTGTCTGGGATTTCCGGGTGAACTTGCCTCCCGCCCGGCGCCCTGCTCGGCCCCAGCACTTACCCGGCAGACTTGGGAAAGTCTCTGAGAAGTGCGGAGGCGGGGGCGGTGGGGGCTCTGCCACTTTCTCCCGGGCCGGCAGCAGCTCCTCGGCTTCCAGCCCGCCCTCTGGGCGTCGGCCGCCCGGCTCGGGGTTGTTTCGGGCGGCGGCGGCGGCAGCGGCGAGCTCCGGGGGCCCGTAGAAGGCGTCGGGCGGCTCCGCGAAGCTGGGCAGCGCGGTGGTCAGCGCCACCATCGAGGGCACAGCCTGGCCCAGCCCCGCGCAGAAGGTGTTGGTAAGGCGGCCGGCAAAGGAGGCTAGCGGGGCGAGGGGCGGGAGGCCGGCGGGCAGCGGTGCAGGGGCCAGCGCCTGCGGCAGCACGAGCGGCCGGTAGGGCATGAACATGGGGTAGCCGGTGTAGAGCAAGTGGCCGGAGCGGGGCGGCGGCGGCCCGATGAGGGAGTCGATGGAGAAGGCAGTGCCCGGGCCCCCACCGCTGCCCCCGCCGCTGCCCCCAGGGGCGCCCCCGCCTCCGGCTCCAGCTCTCTGCATCTTGCCCGGAGCTGCGGCCGCCCCGGGGCGCTCCCCTCCCGGCGCCGCCGTGCGCCCCGCGGCTCGGGCGCCCCGCGCGGACACGCAGGGCTCGCTCCCTGGCTCCCGGGCCGAGGTGGCGGCGGGGCGCGGGCTCGGCGCAGTGTGGCTCCGGCGCCGCGCTCCCTCTCTCTCATAAGGAGGGAGGGGGCGGGCGAGCGGGCGGGCTGGGGGTGTCGCCCTCCGGACTCATCCATCTTCCTCAAATTACGCTTCACTTCCTCCCTCCGCCCGCCGCCGCCGCCGCCGCGCCCGGCTCCCGCTCCCTCCGCAGAGCCGGTTCCCAGCGGCCCGGCCGGTCGGCCCGGGACCCCCGCCTGCCCCCCGCAGCCCAACCAACTATTATTAATGGAGATTGATGAGGCCGGACACGCCGCTTTGTGAAAGTTTGCGGCCGATGAGAAGGCGGTGGCAGCTGCTGGGCCAGCGCCCCTCCCTCCACCCAGCCCGCCCCCCACTCGGCCCGCTCGGCCCGGGCGTGGACTGGACCGTGGGCCCGGGCGTGGACGCGGCGGCAGGCAAGAAGGGCCCACCGGGAGGGGCGGGCGGATGGGCGGCGGAGAAGGACCACAGCGCGCCCGGCCCGGGGCTGCCGCCCTCCGTCGGACCCTAGGCCAGTCCCCCGGCGTGCCTCCCCGCCCCCGAGGCCCCCTCCCTGGCCCCTGGGGCGGACGACGTGGCGGCCCCAAGAACAAACTCGGGCGCGGCGGGCGGGACGGGACCCCCACGCCCCCGGGGCGGCGAGGCGGGGACGACAGGGGGCGCGTTCTGCGGCCGGCGCCGCGGCTCAGGGCCACCCGTATTGGGGGGGCCCTTTTCCTCTTCGAAGGGTCGTTTCTTCCCGACTTTGTTCACACTCTCTCCCCTGGGCTCTCTTCTCTTGGCTCTTCCCCTTCCCTCCTCCGTCGCGGACTCAGTCACTCACTCTGGCCTCTGTGGCTAATTTCCTCAAGGGCCCACACTATATCAGGTACTTACCATTCCTCTCACCTTTCCCCCTCCACCCTTCTCCCTTTACATTCTTTTCCTTCCTCCCGCTCTTCCCTTTCCTGCCCTCATTTCTATCCCTATTCCTATTTGATTATTCCCATTTCTCATTCCCTATCCCAGTCCGTCTTATTCTATTTTTTTTTCTCATTTCTTGCCTATATCTGTCTCTCTTGTCTGTCTTTCTATCTCCGTCTTCCTCCTTCCCTCTCTCCCCTTCTCCTCTGCTATTAATTTCCCTGATTGGCTCCCCTGCTCCTGCGCCGCTGATGAGCCCTATTCATTCCCGGGCCTGACACTCTCGACCTGCCCTGGCTGATTGCTGGGGGCTGGCCCCAGGAGCGATGATGAGCCCCAAGGGTCAGCGGCGCTAATTATCCGCTAATTGCGATGACTTTGCTCACCTCCCCCATTCTCAGACACAGAAATGGTGGTGCCTTTTACCCTCCCCCTCCTCCTGATTCCCAGAAGTAGAGTTGTCAATCTAGAGGCAAAAGTCATGAGCACTTTCGCTTGAGAGGAGCCTCAGGTCAGCAGGCAAGAAAGACTTAAGATAGACAAGTCAACAGAAGAAGAGTGACCCAAGCTTCAGGACACAGAGCAAGCCTGGCCAGCTAAAACGAGGATCATCTAGTCACTGGGAAACTGTTATTCAGGTGGGGCCAGGGAGAGCCAAGCTAATTAAAATTAAAAGTAGCAAAGCCAGGCAAGTTTAGGGAGATACAGTCTAGATAGAGGAAGTTATTTGGCTCAGGTGAGGAGAAAAACCTATGGCAAAGAGTCTCAGTGTTTCCAAGCCAAGACAGAGCAGGGCAGGAGAGAACTCTGGATCTCAGTGACATTTGTTCAAATCAAGAGCGTTATGTTGGCCTAGTGAACGCTGCTAAAGTCAGGCTGATGTATTAAAAATCAGCACCCTGAAGGACACTATCACCAGAGTGGGACAGAATATGGTGGGACCCAAGAAGGGAGATTTATTTGGTTACGCTTGATTGACAATTCATCAGAGAGGTAAAGGGAGAAGAGTGTGGTTTCCAGGCAGTCTTGATCTATCTTGGGCTTTACATTAAACTCAGTGAAACTTCTGAAAGATAAGTTTGGTGGGAAGATGTCACCATGGAAAAAGGAGAGATGCACTAACTTAGATCTGGGAACCCCAACTCACTTCTAAAGTACTAGGATAATCCTTATACATCCTCCTAAAGATATTTTTCAGAACCTTTTGTTAAATTAACCAAGCACTTCATGGTACCAATATGGAAGACCAATCTGCAAAAGTGTCATGTACTTAAAAAGTGAGAGGTCAGTACTTGGTTTGATGGCTTTACAGTGTTGGATACAAAATAGAGGCTTTTTTTCTTTTTTGGAGGAAGATTGGCCCTGAGCTAACATCTGCTGCCAATCCTCCTCCTTTTGCTGAGGAAGACTGGCCCTGAGCTAACATCTGTGACTATCTTCCTCTACTTTATATGTGGGACACCTACCACAGCATGGCTTGCCAAGCAGTGCCATGTCTGCACCCGGGATCCAAACCGGCAAACCCCGGACCACCAAAGTGGAACGTACGCACTTAACCGCTGTGCCACTGGGCCGGCCCAATAGAGGCTTACTGACTTGATAAATTATTGAGAGAACTTTGGGCTACAATCACTGAAATTAAAGCTATATGAGCAGTAACAACACTAATCAAATAAAGCATGAAGGAAGAGCCATTTTTAAAAGTAATTGCATTCATTTTTTGCATAGGTAATAAAATCACATAGCACAAAATACCAAAAGCTCGAAAGGATATATATATTGAAACATCTCCCTCCCACCACTCCCCCAGTAAAAGGCCACTTTAATAAGCCTGTCACTCTCTCGTGGGACAAAATGGATCATGCATTATCAAGGACTCAAGGTGAAAGACCCTCTGATCTTGAAGATGTATGTCACCTAGTTTAAGCCAAGATCTTATTGCCCAGAACTATACTCAGTAAAGTGGAATTCTCTGCTCAAGCTGGCACAGAGAGTACAGGCTTAAAGCTTGTTGCCAACAAAGCCGAGTGGTCCACCATTCTGAAATGAGGCAAGGGAGGCCCCAGGGTCTTTGTATTGCCCTGGTGTGGTGTGTGTTTATTAGATACTGTATTTTATAATCCATTTATAGTCCTGGATCTGTTTCCTTGCCATGCTGGGGTCATGTGACTTCTGCATAGTCTTTGACATTCAGTAGCTAAACCAGGATAAAAGCAGTCACATACACAGCGACAACTGAATAGCCCATTTCCTTTCCCTGCCCTTTCATGGACCGTGGAACTGAGGCCACGTGGTAAATGGAAAAAGGCTTTGGTTGGAGTAAAAAGACCTGGAGTTAAGTTCCTCTTCTGACTCCTCACTGAGCCATGTGAACTTGGCTCCTCTTGACTTAACTTCTCCATGTGTAAGAGAGAATGATTAATATCTACTCTGCCTAGTGAAAAAGTTGGTGTAAGAGGCCAGCCTGGTGATGTGGTGGTTGAGTTTGCCCACTCCACTTTGGTGGCCTGGGGTTTGTGGGTTCAGATCCTGGGCACAGACCTATACACCGCTCATCAGGCCATGCTGGGGCGGCGTCCCACATGCAGATTGGAGGAAAATTGGCACAGATGTTAGCTCAGCAACAATCTTCCTCAAGCAAAAAGAGAAAGACTGGCAACGGATGTTAGCTCAGGGCCAATCTTCCTCACCAAAATAATAGTAATAAAATAAAAAAGTGGAAAAAAGGATTAAAATTTTTTTTAAAAAGTCGGTGCAAGGATCAACTGAACAGGAGGAAAGGCATCTTTCACCTTTCAAAATGAATTCTTCCTGGACTAAATGGACAAAGAAGAGCAGAGTGCTCAAGAATGGAATTCTCCCAAATCAGTGTCTCTCCAAAAACTGCTTCTTCCTCTCCCATCAGTACCAAGGACAGAAGCTGTTTGCTATCACGTCTGAACAGAGCTGGCTCCTTTCTTCACCAAGAGAAAACTCTGTGGTTCTCCAGTTGAACCCCTAAACAGACCCATTGTGGGCAAGCAACTCCCCTCATTGTAGACAATGGAATTCTAAAGTGCTTCGTTAATTGTCCACATGCTCTGACTTGTCCCACTCTCACTACTCCACCTGTTGAGGAAATGCTCCTACAGAGGAATTTCATTTTGAATCTACCCTCTCCGCTTGTGCCAATGTCAGACCCCATCATCTGGCCTCCCTTTCACGGATTGGAAACCAAGGACCTGGGATGCTGAGAAAGAACGAAGTATTCGAAAGTCAAAGCCACCAGATCGATCCCTCCGCCTCACTCGTTGGCAGGAGAGAGTCCACTCACAGTGGGCAGCGTCGGACCCTGTCCGCGGGCACCCTCTGCTGGCAGCAGCGCGCCACTGCGTCACCGCGGGAGAGGCGCGGAGGACCGCAGCGCCCCCTGGCGTTAGTCCGGGAGACGCGCCGAGGGCAAAGGACCAGGACCCGGTGAGCCGTCCAAAGGGCGAGCGCGCCCCGCGCTGCCGGGTAGTGAACTGTGAGCGTTCTGGTTGGGCGGGGGGAATGCACACGAGGGTTTTAAAGTCTCGTATGCACGCGTGTAGGTTCACGTATGTTGTTGTGTCCAGGTACTTGCACCCTGTGCATCTGTTGTGTTAAATGTGTGCCGTTTGTGTGTGCACACGCGTTACACGCAGACAGGCTGGTGGTGGGGAGGTCCGCGCCTCCAGTGCAGGGCGGAGTCCTCACGGAGGCGTGAAATTGGTTTGGAGCAAACACATTACGGAAAGCAATTACCGGGGAGAGGTTCTGGGCCCGCGGGACCCGCAGCAGGAGGCTGGGGAGGAAGCTCCCTGGCTTGCGAGTGTCTGGATGTCTAACCCCAGAAAGGACCTTCCTAACACTGCCCTGCTAAGGGGAGAAGGCGTCGAGGTGGGCGGTAGCCCCCCATACCGACCACTTCACGCGCACACACACACCCTTAAAAA